CACCATCTCTGGAGGTGTTCAAAAAATGTGTAGACGTGGCACTTGGGGACGTGGTTTAGTGGGCGTGGTGGTGTTGGGTTGATGGTTGGACTTGATGATCTTCAAGGTCTTTTCCAACCTTAACGGTTCTGTGATTTGCCCGATGTGATGAGTTAAGGCGTGGGGCCAAGCACTTCCTCCCCTTGGTTTGCTACTCCTAGAGATGCGCTGACTAACTTGGGCTGCTTTGCCCTGCCCGCAGCGGGCTGTGCCTTTGAGATGGAGCAAGCACGCACCGTTCTGTTTATCGCTTCTGATTTATCAGAAGCTTTTGCAGCGATAGGAACTGCTTGAGAACTTGAGATGCTCCGAGCTGCCTGCACATCACCCGCAGCGGGGCAGGGGCTGGGGGGCTGCGGCTCAGCGACGCTCTCTGCTCCCCAGGCCACGTGCTCAGCATGCCCCACGATGACTCCAAGACCTGCGAGCGGCTCTTCGGGCCCCTCGGCAAGCACCATATGATGGCCCCTCTTTTCATCCACTTGAACAAGACCCAGCCCTGGTCTCCTTGCAGCGCCATGTACCTCACCGAGTTCCTGGACGGAGGGCACGGTAAGGAGCCTCGTCATTCAAGACGGCCTTTTCCTTAATTGCTGAGGCTCTTTCCAATGCCTGGAGGGATGTGTTGGGTTGAAGGGGGTTCAAACCAGACCACAGGCAGAGGTTTGGGGTGCCCTGCTTGGTGCAACCCATGGTGCCAAGCCTTGATGCATCTCCGCCTCGCCCAGGCGACTGCTTGCTCGATGCCCCGGCCGACCCCCTCTCCCTGCCCGCCGAGCTGCCCGGCCGAGGAGCCCTGTACAGCCTGGACCAGCAATGCCAGCAGATCTTCGGCAAGGACTTCCAGCACTGCCCCAACACCACGGAGGAGGACATCTGCGCCCAGCTCTGGTGCAGGACCGGCAGCGGGGAGCCCCTTTGCCACACCAAGAACGGCAGCTTGCCCTGGGCCGACGGCACGCCCTGCAAAGCTGGTGGGCTGTGCTGGGACGGCCGCTGCGTGCCGCAGGACGCCCTGAAGCCCCAGGTAACGGGGGGAGTTTGGGGACTGACGGGCTGAGGCTCGGCCCTTGGGGATTCCCGAACCTCTGAGCCTAGTCCTGCCGTCTCCTGGTCCAGCTTTGGGTTTGCCTGATCTGTTTTCTGGATATCGCTCCTTCAGCTGCACCTTTCGTTAATCTTTATTATTGCAAGCCCAGCTTGTAGATAAATGCTGCCGTGCCTTTTGCCGAGGCATGGGCTGCTCTGAAGCAGAGCAAGCGGCCGCAGTTCCGCGAGTAAATCATCGCTTTTGGCCCTGCTGGGGGAATTAGCAGTGATTTCTGAGTCAGTCAGCAAAGTCCTTAAACCCAGGCTTAACTTTAAGCACATGAACAGACTGGTGGAAGTCGGTGATAACTTCATGCGTGGGCTTAAGTGCTTTGCTGGATCAGGGCCCCGGCTGGCGACGCGGGGAGAGAAGCTGGGGGGAGGTTTTTAGCTCCGCTTCAGACCTTTGCTTGCCCTGGGAGCGAGCAGCCGGGGACGGAC